TAGAAAAGAAAGACGGTACCTTACGTCCTTGTATAGACTATCGGGGATTGAACAAAATTACTATCAGGAATGCTTACCCTATTCCTTTGATTACTGAACTCTTTGACAGACTAAAGGGCTCGAGTATTTTTACTAAACTTGACTTAAGAGGAGCATATAACTTAGTGCGAATTAAACAAGGAGATGAATGGATGACAGCATTTAATACCCGTTACGGGCATTATGAGTATACCGTAATGCCGTTTGGGCTTTGTAACGCCCCGGCCGTCTTCCAAGACTTGATCAATGAAGTTCTTAGAGAATTCCAACATGAATGTGTAATTGTATATTTGGATGATATACTAATCCATTCTAGAGATATTAATTCACATCATAGACAAGTCAGAAAGGTATTACAGAAACTTTTACAACATGGATTGTATTGTAAATTGGAAAAATGTAGCTTTGACCAGTCTCAGGTAACTTTCTTAGGTTACGTAATTTCCAAAGACGGGTTTATGATGGACCCGACCAAACTAAAATCGATTTTAGATTGGCCTTTACCTAAGGGACTCAAAGCCATACAAAGATTTCTTGGATTTTCTAATTATTACAGACGTTTTATTAAAGGGTACTCCTCTGTTATCGCTCCTATCACTAATATGACCAAACAAGGAGCCGATACCAAAACCTGGTCTACTGAGGCTTTATCTGCTTTCGAAACGCTCAAACAGTCTTTTGCCTCAGCACCTGTATTAGTTCATCCTGATACCTCTCTACCCTTTTTACTTGAAGTTGATGCGTCTGAAACAGGGATAGGCGCAGTGTTATCCCAACGACAAAGTTTAGATAAGCCGCTGCACCCATGCGGTTTTTTTTTCCAAGAAACTATCACACACTGAAAGGAGATATGACATTGGTGATAGGGAACTTTTAGCTATCATTATGGCATTAAAGGAATGGAGACATTTGTTAGAGGGCACCGTCCTTCCAGTTACTATCTTGACTGACCACAAAAATTTATCGTATATGGGGGAGGCCAAAAGATTATCTGCCAGGCAGGCACGTTGGTCTATGTTCCTTACACACTTTAATTATGTGCTTACTTACAGGCCTGGTTCTAAGAACACTAAGGCAGACGCTTTGTCACGTCAGCACGAACCTACCACCTCTACAGAGGATACTTTGTTCCCTATTATTCCTGAAGTCAATATTATCGCCAACACCAATGTCAAAATACACTCTCCATTGCTCGCTGATATTCAGAACGAACAATCTCTTGCTCCCGAACGTACTCCTGTGGGCCGCTTGTTCGTGTCTCCCAAATTCCAAGTGGACATTATTCGCTGTTTCCACGATAGCAAGATCGCTGGTCACCCCGGCATCCACAAAACTTACTGTCTGATCTCCAAAGACTTCTGGTGGCCCGGTTTACGTAGGGATGTGGAAGACTTTGTCAAGGCTTGCAATGTTTGTGTCAGGAATAAACTTCCGCGGGATCTCCCTTGTGGTTTATTGCAGCCCTTAGTCGTTCCCAACAAACCTTGGGCTTGTTTGGCTATGGATTTTATTGTTGATCTACCAGCTTCCAATAGGCATACAGTTATCCTCACGGTCCTTGACAGGTTTACTAAAATGGCTCATTTCGTTCCCTTGCCTAAACTTCCGTCCTCCCCCGAACTGGCCGTGATATTTGCTAGAGAAATTTTCCGTTTACATGGTATTCCCAATGAGATTGTGTCAGACAGGGGCTCCCAATTTATTTCCCGTTTTTGGAGATCCTTCTGTTCACAGTTGGGCATCAAACTGAATTTTTCTTCGGCCTATCATCCTCAATCTAACGGAGCAGCCGAACGCACTAACCAAAAAATTGAGCAATATCTACGTTGTTTTGTTTCTGAACACCAGGATGACTGGGTCGGTCTGATTCCTTGGGCGGAGTTTGCTCACAACAACCTTGTTTGTGGTTCCACTCGTAATAGCCCCTTTTTCTTGAACTATGGCTTTAACCCTACTGTTCTTCCGTCGGTGTCTCCTTCCCAGGGTATACCGTCGGTTGATATTCATATAGCCAACCTGAGAAAGTTGTGGGATCAGACTCGACAAATTCTTGAACGTAGTTCCGCGGTGTTTAAGTCACATGCTGATAGGCGTAGACGTCCTGCTCCTATTTTTTCTCCGGGGGATAGGGTCTGGTTGTGTACCAGACACATTCGCCTGAAAGTTCCTTCCTTGAAGTTTGCTCCTCGTTACATTGGTCCTTACAGGGTACTGAGGAGGATCAACCCGGTTTCTTATTTGCTGGATCTACCTCCTACTCTACGCATCCCTAACTCTTTTCATGTGTCGTTATTGAAACCTCTTGTTTGTAACAGATTTTCCTCCCGCTCTGCTCCTCCATCCTCGGTCCGTGTGGATGGTCAGGAGGAATATATCATCAAGTCCATCCTTGATTCTCGTATTTCTAGGGGGAAGCTGCAATACCTCATAGACTGGAAAGGTTATGGTCCAGAAGAGAGGTCTTGGGTTCCTGGTATAGACGTGCATGCTCCTCGTCTTCTTCGGGCCTTCCACGTTCGTTTTCCTTCTAAGCCAGGTCCCATCCGCCCGGTGGGCGTTTCTAGAAGGGGGGGTACTGTCAGGGTACCTGTTGGTGATGTATCCAGGGAGGACATCCTCTCTGCTTAGGGGCTCCCTTCCCCTAGCATTTCGGCATATTCCGGCCGTTTTCGCGCCGGCCGCGCTAGCTCCTCCCCCTTTTATGACGCGACGGCTAGCGTCGACGTCATGACGTCGGCATTTGCATAAAGTGCCGGGAACCGCTATTCCGGACCTTTTGGGGGCGTGGTCTCTATTTAGGTAACAGGGTATTTAAAGGAAACCTTTACTACTGCTCATTGCCCTGTCGTGGTTCTAGCTTGCTAGTCACTCAGCGCGTTCTTTATCTTGTGTTTCCGGTTTTGACCCTTGCTTGTCTTTTGTCCTGTTGTCCTCTCCTCTCCTTTGACTCGGCTTGTATCTCGCTTACCTGTCCTCCGGCTCCCTTGACCTCGGCTTACCTTTTGACTATTCTTGCTTTGTCCTTACGTTAGTCCGGCCATTCTAAGGTCCGGTATACGTACCTCCTTCTGTGCGCACTCTGCGTATTGGATCCCTGTCAGTTTCCTGACATTTTCCTGATGAAATGAGAGTGAGTCTTGATGGGCCAGATGGATGGGCCCGTGGCTGGATTGGTAAAGGGCAGAGAGCTCCAGTCCGACTCAGACGCCAGCAAGGTGGAGGTGGAGTACTGGTTTGGGCTGGTATCATCAAAGATGAGCTTGTGGGGCCTTTTCGGGTTGAGGATGGAGTCAAGCTCAACTCCCAGTCCTACTGCCAGTTCCTGGAAGACACCTTCTTCAAGCAGTGGTACAGGAAGAAGTCTGCATCCTTCAAGAAAAACATGATTTTCATGCAGGACAATGCTCCATCACACGCGTCCAAGTACTCCACAGCGTGGCTGGCAAGAAAGGGTATAAAAGAAGAAAATCTAATGACATGGCCTCCTTGTTCACCTGATCTGAACCCCATTGAGAACCTGTGGTCCATCATCAAATGTGAGATTTACAAGGAGGGAAAACAGTACACCTCTCTGAACAGTGTCTGGGAGGCTGTGGTTGCTGCTGCACGCAATGTTGATGGTGAACAGATCAAAACACTGACAAAATCCATGGATGGCAGGCTTTTGAGTGTCCTTGCAAAGAAAGGTGGCTATATTGGTCACTGATTTGTTTTTGTTTTGTTTTTGAATGTCAGAAATGTATATTTGTGAATGTTGAGATGTTATATTGGTTTCACTGGTAATAATAAATAATTGAAATGGGTATATATTTGTTTTTTGTTAAGTTGCCTAATAATTATGCACAGTAATAGTCACCTGCACACACAGATATCCCCCTAACATAGCTAAAACTAAAAACAAACTAAAAACTACTTCCAAAAATATTCAGCTTTGATATTAATGAGTTTTTTGGGTTCATTGAGAACATGGTTGTTGTTCAATAATAAAATTAATCCTCAAAAATACAACTTGCCTAATAATTCTGCACTCCCTGTAGACACGCTAGACACTAACGTGTAAATCGCCAAAACAGGAATTTCAAATTTGCCTAAAATAGCCAAGTTGAAAAATCTTCAAATCAGCTGTGTTTTCAGTTCCAGCATATTGTCTTATAATTTACATTTCTTCATAAATAATTTTTGAGTTTGACTGTATCACGCTTTGGGGAATAAACCTTTATTTGTTCCTGATCAGTTAATTTTAGTACAAATTATATAAAAACACAAATCATTTCAAATTCATGATTATCATCCTTGCTTTTTACATTCCCCAAAATGGAATGAAGCAATTTGCTTCAAAACTTTTTAAATGTCACATATATAAAATCTGGAACATGGCCCACACTGCCCTAACAACAAACACCTTCCCTTTTTTCATACACAACCACTAACCATTACTTCTTACACTACCCCAACCTTTCCACTAATCCTAATGCCAACCGTAGCAGACTAATTCCAGCCTTTAAATATATTGTAAAATAAAAGAACTGTCTATTAGTGGAAATAATTAAAATCACAGGGTTCTGGAGATATTTATAAACCAAATAGAAAAAATATAAAAATAGTTAAACTGAACAGAATGTTAAATTAGAATTTTGTACCTGCATTGTATCTTCATGTATGTACGTAGTAGGGAATCACGATGCAGCATCATACATAAACCAACCCAATTCACCCCCCCAAATAATGACAGACAACGTAGTATGCATGAGACAGGCCACAGCATTTATTATAACACATAATTACTGTATAACACATCCATAATTTATTTTAATAATCTCTTTTCTTTTATGTAACCCAAACGTTAAACATAAATAACCATAACTTACATATAACTTAACACATAGTGTCATACAGTGAACCCAACCATCCTTGCCAATAAACTGACCATGCGCCTAGGTACCACGTCCTCTCACCACCCCCCTCGGCATAAACTCCTTTTCCTTCCAATGCTTACCACCAGGCGACCGTTTCCTCGCTCAGTGGGTACGACACAACAGGTAACCTAAGGTTAACCCTTTAGAGCAGGGGAGGTTGAGACCTGAAAACTTGCTCACTTCATTCCACATACTTAAACGTAATCACCTCAAGCTTAATTGGCAAAGACATACCCCCGGCTAGCTGTGACTCAATATACTAATGGGGCAGGCAGAAGGGAAGCCGTTTGCAGGCCCGCATCCCAAGTGGCACTGAGGTAAGACCACCCCCCACTAACCCATACAACAAATAATCCCATCCACACATTCATACACAACCAATCACACGCATCTATTCTCACACTCCTACATGTGCCCTTGTCTGCTTAGCTGCGCTATCTCCCCAGGGCCTTGTCAATTGAAATATTTTCCAGATTCCTGGTTGTGTCTTATTTAGTCATTATGGTAACAGAATAGTCTATTCTATAATATGCTACTTTTTTTTTTCTATATTACTGCATGTTATACAAGTTTTGTTTAATATATATGTGTATTAATTAGCTTCTTCATTCGCTCCTGTTATCTGGTGCTTCTCATTCTACCCCACCCTGTTCTTTAAATTAAAGCCAGCATAAAAATCTTGTATCAAATGAACTACGTGCAGGGTTGTGATCACGGCCTTAGCATTAATTGTGCAATACCAAATATATGCCTGATCTGATTAATGCTTATATTTGTAATTACCATAAATCTTAAATCTGCTTTATTTTGATCATTTGTAACTATAATACATAGTTTTTGCTGATGTTTAAAGTTTCATATTACCATTTGAAAGACCCCATCCCCCAAAAAGGATAAAAGTAAAATGCATTTAATCTTGTCTGGAGAGTATAACTTGATTGGGTAAAATTAATTACAAATCCATAACGTTGGTCAAACAGCGCTAAACTCACTTTTTTCTTCTTATAGCAATTGCTATTCTCAAATTTTCCACGGGGTCCTTACATCGATCTCCTCCACAAAACCCTTAGGATAAATACCGCGGTCTCTAGAATGCTTGTTATGAATAACCTCCAGAAGCTGCCCTCAAGCACAGCCACAGCAAATTAATTCATTGCAAAAAAAGCCCTTTTATTGTATCAATCAGTGGCCAAATGTGGTGAACTGACTGACCAACCACTAAGTGATCTCTAAAGATACGGACCTCCTCCCACCAACCCGTATGAGCAAATCATCACATTCTGTTAGATAAACTTTTCAAATGATAAGCCTATGGGAATGTGTGTAAATTTAGCATTCATTGATCATTTGAAAAGCTTATCCAAAAATCTGAAATCAAGGCCTACTGTTCACACTTTATGATATTTCTGAGAAATAAAATGCCATAAAAACCAGAAAGAACTCCCGTGGTGCCTGCAAGCAAAAATAGCAAATAATTAGATTAATTGCATTGCCTGTGAGGTTCCTGAGGCTGATTGCAATAAGTAGCTTAGTGTAACTGAGGCCCACAGCTGATATCTATCGTCCGGCGTGTGTTGGACCCGGGGATCAGACATGCATTTAGAATAAGTAAACAGACCCTCAAACGGCCCCTTCCTTCCTTTTCTCCCACTCAGCAGCCAGTTGTGTGCGTGAGTGTTCTCTTTGTCTTGTATGTTCTTGGCTAGAGATATTACTGTTGCTTGTTGACATTCTTCTTCTATAAAGATTTTAAATTTTTCGATATGATCTGCAGAGCATATTTCCAATACCCATAATATACTCATGGTGATGTCATCTGGGCAGTTATTCCTTGTAATTAACAGGTACCAGAGTACACATTGCCAGCACCTGGATATACAGTGTTTGGAAGTTACCCCTGGGGAGCTGCTGCTTTTAATTCAACGATATCCCTGCCAACAACTGCCTCCTAGAAGTATACTTCCCAGCAATCAAAAGGCACACAATATGTATCGTGGTGCTCCCCTAAAATTGGGGAAAAAAACTAAAACTATCCTTATCTCTTACATTAGCCCAACTCTTTAACCCCTTAAGGACACATGACGTGTGACATGTCATGATTCCCTTTTATTCCAGAAGTTTGGTCCTTAAGGGGTTAAACCAACCATAACCTAATACTAACCATAGCCCAAGCCATAACCACCACTCTAAGATTAACATTTACTCTAAACCTATCCTTAACCCTAACCATCACACTAAGCCTAACATTAACCATAATCCTATCCTGATCCCTAGCCACAACCCTAAGCCAAACATTAATCCTTATCCTATCCTTAACTCTCGCCATAACACGTAGCCTAACATTAACCCAAACCCTATCCTTCACCCTAGCCATAACCCTAATTCTAACATTAACCCCAATCCTATCCTTAACCTCGCCATAACACGTAGCCTAACACTAACCATAATCCTATCCTGATCCCTAGCCACAACCCTAAGCCAAACATTAATCCTTATCCTATCCTTAACCCTCGCCATAACACGTAGCCTAACATTAACCCAAACCCTATCCTTCACCCTAGCCATAACCCTAATTCTAACATTAACTTCAATCCTATCCTTAACCCTCGCCATAACATGTAGCCTAACATTAACCCAAACCCTATCCTTCACCCTAGCCATAACCCTAACTCTAACATTAACCCCAATCCTATCCTTAACCCTCGCCATAACATGTAGCCTAACATTAACCCAAACCCTATCCTTCACCCTAGCCATAACCCTAATTCTAACATTAACTTCAATCCTATCCTTAACCCTCGCCATAACATGTAGCCTAACATTAACCCAAACCCTATCCTTCACCCTAGCCATAACCCTAACTCTAACATTAACCCCAATCCTATCCTTAACCCTCACCATAACATGTAGCCTAACATTAACCCAAACCCTATCCTTCACCCTAGCCATAACCCTAATTCTAACATTAACTTCAATCCTATCCTTAACCTTCGCCATAACATGTAGCCTAACATTAACCCAAACCCTATCCTTCACCCTAGCCATAACCCTAATTCTAACATTAACCCCAATCCTATCCTTAACCCTCGCCATAACATGTAGCCTAACATTAACCATAATCCTATCCTGATCCCTAGCCATAACCCTAATTCTAACATTAACCATAATCCTATCCTTAACCCTAAACACAACACTAAGCCTAATATTAACCTTATGCCTATCGTTAACCCTAGCCATAACACAGAGTTTAACATTATTCCTAATCCTATCCTTAACCCTAGCCATAACACTAACTGTAACATTAACCCTATACTTAACCCTAACCATAACACTAACTCTAATCCTATCCTTTACCCTAGCAATGACACTAAGTCTAACATTAACCCTAATCCTAACATTAACCTTATCCTTAACCCTGGCCATAACACTTACCTAAACATTAACCCTTACACAACACTACACTAAATATTAACCCTTATCCTAACCTTAACCCTAACCATACCACTAATCCTAACATTAACCCTATCCTTAACCCTAATCTTACCCCTAATCCTAACATTAACCCTATCCTTAACCCCAGCTATAACACCAAGTCTAACATTAACCCTATCCTTAACCATGACCATAACACTAAACCTAAATATTAACCCTTACACTACACTAAACATTAAATCTTACACTACACTAAACATTAACCTCCACACTCCACTCCACTACACATTAACCCCTACACTACACTCAGCCTAACCTACACAATATGTTATAATATAAAAATACATCATTGGTGTACCATGTAATATGGAAAAATAATTAAATTTTAGAGTTCTGGAGTCAATTAACAATCACCCATCCCTTTTATCTAATTGTTTATTACGAGATCTTCAGAACCGTGTGACGGAATCTTCCCGTAACACATGGCATTGTGTTCTGTATCTTCTAAACACTGAATGCAGATTACTTTGAATATTAATAGATATAAATGTATAAATATAAAGAGACATTGTGGCTGCATTTTTAGTGATATTGTTTTAGTGTTTAAAGGTTATATCATTAATTCTATAGCCTGTTAATTACTAAAATTCTGGGCAAGTATACTTTTCACGCTAGTTCCTCATTCTGTTCAGTCTATTTACTTTAGTTGTTGATTACATATTTGCAATAAAATTGTCATTCTTAATGTAATTATTTCTATTGAGATGTATTTCTTTAGTGAGACTATAAGGAATACAATCACAAAATACTTTAGTCTTTGATCATTTTATTTTAGTAAACTCTGAAATGACAGTGAAATGTAGGGGTAAGATAGGGGTAAGATTGGGTAAGATAGGGGTAAGATAGGGGTAAGATTGGGGTAAGATTGGGTAAGATAGGGGTAAGATTGGGGTAAGATAGGGGTAAGATAGGGGTAAGATTGGGGTAAGATTGGGTAAGATAGGGGTAAGATAGGGGTAAGATTGGGGTAAGATTGGGTAAGATAGGGGTAAGATAGGGGTAAGATTGGGGTAAGATAGGGGTAAGATTGGGTAAGATAGGGGTAAGATAGGGGTAAGATTGGGTAAGATAGGGGTAAGATAGAAGTAAGATAGTTGGACAGAGTATGCGCAAAAAAATAAATATATGAAAAAACGGGAACGTAAGCTCTAGATAGGATAGTGGATCCATTTCATAAATGATATAAGTTAACATAGATGGCATGTGTACTAGTGAGATGGGGAAAGTCCAAACTTTATTCTTTTAGATTTTTAAATCTCAGGGTAGCTTTATTCCACTTTCACTCCATAATTCCAAGTTCTAGAAGAAATATTTTGTTATTTATTTGGTAAAAAAAAAATCAAAATATGTAAAATTATTTTTAACATTCACGAGAAATGGGAAATAAATGACTTAGTTTATCAGATTAAAAACCGTAAACATCTCGAATCAACCTGCCTCACTTGAAATCACAGGTAATATTATTCAATGTCTCTCTAACAGTGGGTTGGTATGGGAAATACACAATGGGTGTGTGTGGAAACATTGTTATGTTCTAGAGAGCATTTTTTATACTTTATCTCTTTAAAAGGAGAACGGTAACGTCTCTGATTTAAAACATGTGTTAACCATTTCTTTGTATAAGATGCCTGGTTTTCTTTAAAATCTATAATAAATATTTAGCAAATTTCATTGTAACCGAGTTTAGACAAGGCACAACCAGGGCACACAATGCAAACGACAGATAGAAATATAGACATTTACAGGGTTATTCACCAAACACTGGCTTTCATTGGAATGGAAAGAATTCTGTGAAATTGTCCAAATTCTGACCAGAAAAGCAGGTCTTATATTTACTAACACCAATTCTGGAATGTAATCAATCCATCCAAATCTGTATCATTCGGGCTAAACTGTTTGGATCCAGAATATGTATGAGGCACCGATTTTAAACTTAATGTTTCCAATACCCCACCTCCTATAGTCTGTAAGCTCGTTTGAGCAGGGTCCTCTTCAACCTATCGTTCCTGTAAGTTTTCTTGTAATTGTCCTATTTATTGTTATATCCCCCCTCTCAAAATATTGTAAAGCACTACGGAATATCTGTTGGTGCTATATAAATGATGATAATAATAATAATAATCAGAACCCAATGCATCCAGCACATTTACCAATGGTCATTCACTTTAGGTTATTTGCAAGCAAATGATAATTTGAAGTACTATTTGCCCACTATGACTGGGCTTTGTAAAATAATGGTGTAGGTCCTTTATCATGTAGGTGGTTTAAATTAAAAAAATTGGTGCTGAACGTTGATCTGTCTCCTCCCTGTCACCACCAATGGTCACTGGGTGGGGCTATTAAAAAAATATGGATGGTGTGGCGAAACCAACCTCGCCACTGTACACTGGAGAAGCCTGGTTGCTCGCCTGCTCCCTTTAGACTATGGCCCTGCAGTTCAGACCTGTTATTTTCCCTGCTGAACGGTTTATTCATGCCTTTCTGCCAGGGCGTTCGGTAGATTCAATCTACCGAACAAACTACCGAACGATGAACCACCTGGGAACTGGAGTGTGCCGTCAATTGACCGCCCAGAAGCTGCGGTTAACAACAGCTTAATTGATGAACGCTGGGAGGCCTTTGTTCGGTTGCCGAACACCTGGCAGCGGCCATTTTACCTCCCGAACGGCCAGCGGTGTTCAGCGCCTAAACTATGGAACTGAAAACGGACACTTAATTGTGCGAACACCGCTGAGCCGCCAGCCTCCTTCCCTTCCCATTCGAGAGCGGAACCGAATGACTGTTCATTTGGTAGTTTAACCGGATGAACAGCATCACCCAGATAGCTAAGCGATTGAACTGTATGTATGTGATCTGAGCACCATTCGGTAATAATGTGCGCTCAGATCTGAGCTATCTGGGGATATGTAGAACGTATATGTTTTATGTACTGAATGTAACTTTAGGTAATTTTATGTCTTTTACTGTTTGTTTTCTGCCATGTGGTTAATGGAGTTTTGCCTCTGTCTTTGGAGATAATTGAATTACTTCCCAATTATCTCCAGGGCAGAGAGGAGGGATTGTGATGCATTGTGGGATGGTTGAAATGTGTAAGTCTGTGATTGGTCCTTTTACCCTTTGTGTCCCAGTCTCCCATTTGGTCCCCTAGGGGAGTGTCCACCAGATGGGAGACCTGCATAAAAGCCAGGCAGTTAGCCCCAGTAAACCAGTTCCTGCTTAACCCTCAAAGTGAAGTGTCATCTCATTATCGGGGGGAGGATTTACTGTATGCTGTTAGAGACTGATTGCCAGGAGTGTAAGCTGCTTGTGGGCTTTTCCTGTTCAGCTGCTAGCAGCTATTCGTGAGGTTCCAATTCGGGAATTTGGAGTGCTACTTGCTATCCTGTTCGGGAGTTTGGGGTTCTGCAGTAGCTGTGCCTGTGTCTCTGGAAGGGGAAGATCTACTAAAAGGCAGTTTAACCCCTTTTATGCCTGGGGGGTTACACTCTGCTCTCTGTATTGCAGGAGTATCTCTGTATTACGCTCAGCTCTCTGTATTATACTCAGCTCTCTGTATTGTATGAGTATCTCTGTATTGTATGGGTATCCCTGTATAGGAAGAAGTAAAACTCTGGGGGGAGGAGTCTGCCGCCATCTTAAAACTTCGCCAATCGCTACTTTACAGGGCAATTCATTAAAGTGAGTACTGACGGAAATTGAGAGAGAATTCTAAACAAATGTCAAAACTTCATCCAAAATAGGCAAATTATAGAAAACGAGACAAAACGGATTTCATTTTTGGCTATTTTGTCCTTAAATGTGAAATTCTTTTTGAGCTAGTTTTTAATTCCTGACAATTCTCACATTAGTGAGTAACCCGGATAAGTTATCGGAGGGAATGTAGGGTGCTAAATAAGTATGTTTTACTGACTACAATAAATGGGTGCTAAATACAGGATCCAGGAAAGCCCAGTAAAAATAGGTTTTTTGTTTGTTTTCTTAATATATATGTATACATTATGCAGTGACAAATATAATAATCAGGAATTGTATTTTCTTTAAATGTTCAAATGTGTTATATTTGTGTACTTACCCATTTTGTTTGTGAACGTTGTTTCTGAGCTGTGAAAGGATGTGAATTATAGGAATTAGTGGATGTAAAATATCACATTCTGTAAATAGATTTAATCGTGTACCGTTAAAGACAGATAAAAGTGTTTTAATGAATGTGAAAATTATTTAATAAGGGTGAGCAAGTGTTAATATCTTTTTATAATAATTTTTTAATTACAAAGGGAAATGATGTATTTTAACTATAAATAATTTTCCGTAGAATTGAATATCAGAAGATTACAATGCTGATGATGTGTGTTTATTTACATGGACAGGTCCCATACTCTCCAATTATATTACCCGCACTGAAGGAGCTCAGTAGGACCTGTTGTTTGGCTTCTGGCACCGGATCCTTTTCTTTGTCATTGAAGAGCAGGAGGTCCCTGGCCCATTTCGAGATACTGGGCTGATTCTGCAGGATGCGAAGACTCTCCTCATTGTCACTCTTCTCAAGGTCATCAACCACCACAAGGACATTCTGCTTCCCTTGGAAATATACGGACAGACACTGGGTCAGAGGACCTGAAAGCCTGCTAGACCACATTACCACATTATAGATTATTATAGCGTGAATCAAATAACTTGGGGAAGGAAATCTAATGAAACATTTCGCCATTTGAGTTCTGGAAACACATTGGTCATCACATCTGATGAGAAGATGCATTGCTAACTATAATTATTCCGAACACATCTAGATATTAACATTTTGCTTATTGTACTTTGTTGGCTTTTTTTCATGGCTGCTGTATTCATTTGTTTATCTTAATAGTATTTAAAAAAAAAAAAGAAAATATGAAAAAACAACCACTGATCCCAACTGTCACAAAGCTCGAGCTCTTCCTTGTTTCTTGCCATATAATAACTGTCCACTCAGTTGATAGGTGACGGTCTAAGAACGATACAGAATGACAGTCATCGTCTCTTTACCTAGTTTCTCAGACATGTACTTGAGCTCTTTGTCATATATGGAATCTGTGACGTCTGTGAGGTTAATTCTTCCCTGACACTTTGTGTGGTATAGAATTGCAAATGTTGTGTCCTTCACCCCTGACTTCCATTCCTTCGCGTTGCTGTTGGATATGGGCAGGTAGGTGACCTGTCCCAGGAGCCCACGGTAACGATGGGATTTCAGGTGATTCATGAACCATGCTGCATTATTCTGTGCAGCCCGGGACGTGACGGATACGTTTAGCTTGTCCTGTGCCATACTGAGCTCTGCAGAAAGAGACCAATGATTAATTATACAGTGATTAGACAATGATACCTGACCGATCCCAATATAACAGGAAGCAGTGATCCAGCCAACCGGCTTATTTAACGCCTTAGGGACCAGACTTCTGGAATAAAAGGGAATCAAGACATGTCACACATGTCATGTGTCCTTAAGGGGCAACTGTTACAGGTGTAGAAATTGTCTTTAAAGTGAGAGCACAAACTCTTTGGTATGGAGGATGCAAACTGTATAAACGAGTGTATGAAAGAGAGAATGTCCAGAATATAAGGCAGCTGCTATGCAAAGGTCAGACTTTCCTCTTTTATCATCTCGTCTCCAGATTATAAAAAGTACTGACTGAAATTAAAAGATAATTCTAAACAAACGTAGAAACCTTGGCCAATGGAATAAAAAAACAGAAGAAATTCTGCTTTGGGATTTTGCCTATTTTGTCCTAATTTTGAAATTCCTTTTTAATTCCTGACAATTCTTAATTTAGTGAATAACCCGGATATGTTGTCAGAGGGAATGTAGGGTGTAAAATGGCTAACATATTATGTGAAGAAAAACTACAGAAAAGTAGGTTTATGAAATACAATAAATGAGTTCTAAATGGTTTTCCGCACAGAATTAAGACACAGCTCAGAAAAGCCCAGTAGAAAAAGGTTTTTTTTGTTTGATGTTTAATATGTATGTCCATGTCCCTCGACACAATGTTACATTAATATGCACTGTGCCCATATCCCTCCACACGGTGTTACATTATTATGCACCGTGCCCATATCCCTCCACACGGTGTTACATTATTATACACCGTGCCCATATCCCCCACACAGTGTTACATTATTATGCACTGTGCCCATATCCCTCCACACGGTGTTACATTATTATACACCGTGCCCATATCCCTCCACACGGTGTTACATTATTATACACCGTGCCCATATCCCTCGACAAAATGTTACATTATTATACACCGTGCCCATATCCCTCGACACAATCTTACATTATTATACACCGTGCCCATATCCCTCCGCACAGTGTTACGTTATTATACACCGTGTCCATATCCCTCCACACAGTGTTACATTATTATACACTGTGCCCATATCCCCACACACAGTGTTACATTATTATACAGTGTGTCCATATCCCAGCACACAGTGTTACATTATTATACAGTGTGTCCATATCCCAGCACACAGTGTTACATTATTATACAGTGTGTCCATATCCCAGCACACAGTGTTACATTATTATACAGTGTGCCCATATCCCTCCACACAGTGTTACATTAGTATACAGTGTGCCCATATCCCTCCACACAGTGTTACATTATTATACACCGTGCCCATATCCCCACACAGTGTTACATTATTATACAGTGTGCCCATATCCCTCCACATGGTGTTACATTATTATACAGTGTGCCCATATCCCTCCACACAGTGTTACATTATTATACACCGTGCCCATATCCCCACACAGTGTTACATTATTATACAGTGTGCCCATATCCCCCACACAGTGTAACATTATTATACAGTGTGCCCATATCCCTCCACACAGTGTTACATTATACAGTATATCAGTGTGCCCATATCCCTCCACACAGTGTTACATTATTATACACCGTGCCCATATCCCCACACAGTGTTACATTATTATACAGTGTGGTGTTACATTATTATACCATATCCCTCCACACAGTGTTACATTATTATACAGTGTGGTGTTACATTATTATACAGTGTGCCCATATCCCCACACAGTGTAACATTATTATACACCGTGCCCATATCCTCCGCACAGTGTTACGTTATTATACAGTGTGCCCATATCCCCCACACAGTGTAACATTATTATACACCGTGCCCATATCCCCACACAGTGTTACATATTATACACCGTGCCCATATCCCTCCGCACAGTGTTACGTTATTATACAGTGTGCCCATATCCCCCACACAGTGTAACATTATTATACACCGTGCCCATATCCCCACACAGTGTTACATTATTATACAGTGTGCCCATATCCCCACACAGTGTTACATTATTATACAGTGTGCCCATATCCCCCACACAGTGTAACATTATTATACAGTGTGCCCATATCCCTCCACACAGTGTTACATTATTATACAGTGTGCCCATATCCCTCCACACAGTGTTACATTATTATACACCGTGCCCATATCCCCACACAGTGTTACATTATTATACAGTGTGCCCATATCCCTCCACATGGTGTTACATTATTATACAGTGTGCCCATATCCCTCCACACAGTGTTACATTATTATACACCGTGCCCATATCCCCACACAGTGTTACATTATTATACAGTGTGCCCATATCCCTCCACATGGTGTTACATTATTATACAGTGTGCCCATATCCCCCACACAGTGTAACATTATTATACACCGTGCCCATATCCCTCCGCACAGTGTTACGTTATTATACAGTGTGCCCATATCCCCCACACAGTGTAACATTATTATACACCGTGCCCATATCCCCACACAGTGTTACATTATTATACACCGTGCCCATATCCCCACACAGTGTTACATTATTATACAGTGTGCCCATATCCCCCACACAGTGTAACATTATTATACAGTGTGCCCATATCCCTCCACACAGTGTTACGTTATTATACAGTGTGCCCATATCCCCCACACAGTGTAACATTATTATACAGTGTGCCCATATCCCTCCACACGGTGTTACATTATTATACACCGTGCCCATATCCCCACACAGTGTTACATTATTATACAGTGTACCCATATCCCTCCACACGGTGTTACATTATTATACACCGTGCCCATATCCCCACACAGTGTTACATTATTATACAGTGTGCCCATATCCCCACACAGTGTTACATTATTATACAGTGTGCCCATATCCCCCACACAGTGTAACATTATTATACAGTGTGCCCATATCCCTCCACATTGTCTCTCTGTATTACACCATAGTCTATGTACTGCTTTCCTGTGTATACATTCTCTCTCTCTGTATTACACAGTGCCGTGTATACTGCATGTCTGTGTACCATTAATAAATTGATTGAATTACCTGTAAAGTTAATGTTACCAGCTGGTTCTGCAAGTTGTGGCGAAAAGGATATTGTTTAGATGTCCTCCTGTCTGGCAGTGAATGTGTTAAACTGTCACCAGCTCTTCCTTTTCACAACTATAGTGAGTAAAAACGAAAGTGAAAGCTTTACTGAGAGAGAGGAAGCGAAAGGAGACTGAAAGAAATCTAAAAAGACATACCGAGAATACTTCAAGTGAGAAAGACAAGAAAGAGACAGACAGAGAGGCAGGCACTCAGAGAGACAGACACGGAAATAGATAATAACAGATTGAGACAAACACAGGTATATAAAGTTATTAACATAGTGAGACAGACACAGAGAGAAACAAATACAAATAGATACACGGAGAGAAAGAGACAGGGATAGAGACAGACAGCATTACAGACAGTTAGACACAAAGAGACAGATACAGCAAGATAAAGAATTAGACGGAGAACAAGGCAAACTCTCTGAGAGAGACAGAGTTAGAGGTTAGAAACAAACAGACAGAGATAGCGAGAGAGACAGATACAGCGAGATAGAGTTAGACAGAAAAAGAGACAAACTCTCTGAGAGAGACAGAGTTAGAGGTTAGAAACAGACAGACAGAGAGAGAGAGAGACACAGAGAGACAATCCCAGAGTTGTTGATGCTACAGATGGCTACTTGGATTTGGTAAGATTTCGTGTTTTGTGGCGGACTGTATTTTATATTTTTAAATGTCTGTAGTACCCATTAATTTTCATTGAGGTTTTCTACATTGTGTTTCTAATCTGTATTGCAGGAGACCTTCTGGAGGTTCTCAGAAACCTGTGGGAAACCGATCAAATTCATTGTCCCCAACCAGGTCAGTAATCAGATAGCAATAACTATTAACCAGGTCAGTAAACCGATAGCAATAACTATTAACCAGGTCAGTAAACCGATAGCAATAACTATTAACCAGGTCTGTAATCTGATAGCAATAACAATTTACCAGGTCTGTAAACCGATAGCAAAAACTATTAACCAGGTCAGTAAATGTATAGCAATAACTATTAACCAGGTCAGTATACTGATAGCAATAACTATTAACCAGGTCAGTATACTGATAGCAATAACTATTAACCAGGTCTGTAATCTGATAGCAATTACTATTAACCAGGTCTGTAAACCGATAGCAAAAACTATTAACCAGGTCAGTAAATGTATAGCAATAACTATTAACCAGGTCAGTATACTGATAGCAATAACTATTAACCAGGTCAGTAATCTGATAGCAATAACTATTAACCAGGTCAGTAAACCGATAGCAATAACTATTAACCAGGTCTGTAATCTGATAGCAATAACTATTAACCAGGTCTGTAAACCGATAGCAAAAACTATTAACCAGGTCAGTAAATGTATAGCAATAACTATTAACCAGGTCAGTATACTGATAGCAATAACTATTAACCAGGTCAGTAATCTGATAGCAATAACTATTAACCAGGTCAGTAAACCGATAGCAATAACTATTAACCAGGTCTGTAATCTGATAGCAATAACTATTAACCAGGTCAGTATACTGAGAGCAACTACTATCAACCAGGTGAGTGATCTGATAGCAATAACTATTAACCATGTCTGTAATCTGATAGCAATAACTATTAACCAGGTCAGTATACTGATAGCAATAACTATTAACTAGGTCAGTAATCTGATAGCAATAACTATTAACCATGTCAGTAAATGTATAGCAATAACTATTAACCAGGTCTGTAATCTGATAACTAGTTACGAGTTAAACACATTGATAGCACTATCTATTAACCAAGTAAGTAAACTGACAGACCTGATTTTTACCAAGATAAGCAAAAATAGCACTATTAACCAGTTAAACAAACTGGTAACACTATCTATTAACCAGTAAGTAAAG